GTGGAGCACAGAATCCTCCCCGTTGAATAAATCACCCACTTTTCACGGCTTTTCAGACAGTATTTCTAATGTCAAGGTGCCCTAGGACACTTTTTTCACTACTTTGTATATATGAAATTGTAGCGCGCCTTTTCTTTTTTTCTTAGTTATCAGCTAATTCTTTAGCGTTGCCCCAAAAAACTTCTCTCACTTTGCCAAAGTTATATCGAAAACACTGCTTTTAACTCTGACCTACGTTTAATGTCATAAGTCGAATTAGTATTCGAAGTTCGAAAATATTTGACTGGAAATTCTATGGACGTTCGAACGCAAATCATACTTCGAATTCGAATTTCGACTTTCAGTTTTACAATTAGGCTTTCCGACTACGTTCCACACATAGTTCTGTTCGTATTCTGATTTGTACTGAACTACATACCGTTGGAAGACGGGGAGTGGGTAGGGCGGATGCAGGACAGTGAGTTACGAAGCAACATTTTCTAACTCGAAGTCGAAATTCGAACCTTTCGCATCGAAATATAATCCAATTCGATCGCCGACTTAAACAATATTTTAAACATAATGGTAATATAACAACCATATTTTCGTCGGTCCAACTGGACTTTCGAACTATGTTTCGCTGCGAAACTTCGAATTTTGGCTTCGAGTTACAAAATGTTGCTTCGCAACTCACAGTCTAATGTTAATCAACCAGATGGTGAACCACATGCTCCATTTATCATTACGTTTACGAGCGCAACACCTTCAATGACCATCAAACGACAAAAATTAATCGAATTAAAAACGCAGTATATGTATGATATCATGTGTCTGTTTAATACAAGCTAGTATTACCTAAATTATGTCATATGAATAATAATAAAATATGTTTGATCCTTGGTTTATTACTAAAGAATATCGTTTTATTAAACGAGAATCAAAAGCTGAGATGATTGATGAGTTAACCGAAACACGGACAAATGTCAACCTTCTTAAGTGAATTCTAGTTTCCCTATTTAGAGAAAGATTGCAGAGATCATCTTTTTTCACTGACTCTGTTTTTAATGACTGTTAAGAATAGCATATACATTTTCGATAAAACATGCTTGAAAATCTCACAATTTTCAAATTGAAGGTACTGATTTTGATTGGTATCTTGTCCATGAACCAGGAAAAGTGGATTATTTTGACCAAATGAGATTTTTTGTTAGTTGCGATAGTCACACATGTTATGATGTATGACTCATCCAAGATGGGGACAACATGATGATTTTATAAATGCAAAAGTTTTAAAACTGAAAAGGGTGATGATATTTACGTCCATAAAGTTCGATTAACAGAATCACTCGAAATGATTACTACAAACACAGGAAGAAAACAAGAATTGAGCTGTAATGTTATTAGTTTCGAAACAATTAGAAGAACATGAACGAAATAACGCTGGAATGATGTGAAGAAAAAATATGGACGTACGAGGAAAAATATACACAAAAGTCACACGTACAGGTTATAAATAAGAAGAATAATCATTTAGTTTTTCCAGCAGCGTTTTGTCTTCTATTTGTTCATGTAGAAACACTTTTTTTCTGTGTTGAAATTGTCCGATGCATTGAATATTTACAAAATAGATCCATAAGTGTGTGTCTAAATAGTGTACTAGTTAATAAGTATAAATAAAATGGTATACCCATACTAATAAAAGTTAATAACAGAAGTATTTGATATGAAAAACTTTCAATTGATAATTGTAATTGATTTTTAACTAAATTTATGGTGAATGTTGCATACAAACGCTGAACGGCTATTGGTAATGCAAGCATTGTTGTTAACACAACTTGTATAAGTAACATTTGTATTAATTGTCGATCAGATCTTTTAAGTTTTCTTGTAGCATTTTGAGTAGACGAAACATAAACTAATAGGTTAAGTTTTCTAACATTTAATATTGTTAAATATCCAAATACTGACATTATAAAACAAGGTATTAGTACAACTATAATTGCAAATGTTAAATCATTATATAATCGACATGGATAATTTTTAGAATAACACGGTACTGGTGATGGTGGAGTTGAAAGGTTAGCTTCAAAACAATAAAACATCTCGCTACAGATCAATATTGATAAAATTGTTAAAATTCCAACAAGATAATAAGTTCTTTTTAGATTACTTAGTTGACGGTGTCTGCCATTGTGACTACTAACCAAATAGCGATCAATTGAAGCGAATGCAATAAACCATGTTGATGTTGTTAATGTTGAAAACATGAGAAAATTTCTTATTTTACATTGTATAGGTGACTTACTAGTTGGATCGAGTTGATATGTGGCTAATATCCGTGTTATAAGACCAGAAAAGAGTGCAAATAAACTTGATATCGATGACGATAAAAAAAAAATTGAGCATGGATTCGAACGTAATGAGCGTTGCGTAAATACAATTATATTTAACATATTACCTATTGTTCCACATAGAAGAATGAATATAGACAAATAACGTGTTAGTTGAGTTGCAATTGTTTTTAAATATAGGGCGAGATTCACAGCTTCTGACATATCTATACACCTCTAATTTCAAAGATCGCCGTTCAAATATGTATAAGGGTTGTATAGAGCACTTATTTAGATGTATTTAAACGATTAAGTGCGTACTGTAATATATATATATATATATATATATATGTATATGAAAAATAGACCTGAAAGTATAGAATAGACCTTAGACAAGAATTCAAAAGAGAACGCAATTAGACAGAAAAGAGAACGTTTTGAATTTTTCTGAGAATGCAAATTAATTGGGAGAGAAAAGAGAACGCATTTTGAATTAAAAATATTTAATTTTTAAGGTGCCCGCAATTCAAAAATGCAGTATTATCTTAACTTTCGATCGAAAGCCACATAGTCGGATAGCCCTTACTGAGCTGATTCCGGATATCACCTTTTGATTCGAATTCGATCAAGTTTTCGGGGAGAAATCTTCAAAATACTGAGAAGGTATCAAAATCTTCGAAAAACGCCTTCTTCTGAGAAAACAACCTGAACCTTTTCACCATTCCAGGTTCTATTCTCCCCAATGTGATTTTTGGATTCCTCATATAAAATTGAGTCTAGAAATATTGGCTAGAGCTTCGTCGCATACTACATGCCCATTCTAAAAAATCCATGATGCAGTGTCTTTGGCGATAATAGTACCTAATTTTGCAAACCTATTTAGTTTTTTCTGGTAAGTCACAGAACCTTCATTCTTACGTCATTCAAACCGCCATTTGATGGGTAACAAAAGTATGCATCGCATTTTCTGAAATTCTTTTTTATTGTTAAGAAAACTAATTTTTTCTAAATATAAGGCGAAAATGTCAGAACTCGCCCCGTTATCCTCCATTTTCAATCAGAACTTAATAACGGGCCGAGTTCTGCCATTTTCCGTTCTTTTGATCGAGTTCGAATCAAAAGGTGATATTCGGAATCAGCTCAGTAAGGGCTATCCGACTATGTAGCTTCCGACCGAAAGTTAAGATAGTGCTGCATTTTTGAATTGCGGGCACCTTACTATTTCTTAATTACTAAACATATCATCATACTGTAAAAAATGACATATTCAAAGAAAAAATAACAACTGTTTCCACAAAAATGTTTATTTGATCAATGCTAAACGTGCCTTTTTGTAACTAAACGTCCAGAATATAATCGTGATGAAAATTCGTTATTAAGTTATTCATTAAATAAATCATTATTAGAAAAGTTTTCGGTAAAAAACCAAACTTTTCTTGTCATTTTTCGATATACAGTGGAAGGGTTAGTGAAAGATATAGTTGACTCGATATTTATATGAATGCTGTTCAGAATCGTTAAAGGTACCGGAACCGTTAAATCCTCGGATTTATACAAAAATTCTTAAATCAATGATGAGAAAGGACGGGGGAGGATAAGCGAGTGTCGAGCACCCCAATAAAACTCAATGAAACTTACATATACGGAATCATCGTAAAATTCTGAGTATTTTAGCCGTCTCATTATTCCAAAAATCGAATTTTGATTTTTATCGAAAAATTTAAGGGCAAAGGTCCCACCTTGAAACATCGAAAACATTGTTTCCTCTAAAATTTTCGAAACTTAGCTTATTGCAATAATTTTTTGAAAAAGAGTAAAAAATGGAGGCCGTTAGCTGGACAAGTCGATAATAACAAAGTCTTGTGAACAAGAAAATTTCACCAAGTTGACCAACTGATTTCGAAAAAAAATTATTTGTAAATTGAATACATTTATTTTCTCGACTGAAGTATATGCCGTAAATACTCATTTGAACTTCTAATGCGTGAAATTGAGAACGAAGATTAATGTCGTATGATGATGGCTGATAATCATCTTCTTCAGTCAAGTGGTTCGTCCATACTGACGATAACTTAGGGAGCGTTTCAAAATATATTCCGGTCGGTCAGTCAGTCGCTGTTCAGCTATTCTTTTATTCCTCTATTCGTGTGTTAGAAATTTTTAGTTCTTTTTAGTAGAAAAATTTTTCTTCTAGGACTTTTCCTTATGAAAACGTTCTTATGGAAACGATAAAGAAAAAAACGCTAAAATAAGGAAACCGCTAGAAAAACGGAGGTGAACAGTATAATCGCATTGCTAGATTAAGTTAACATCAGAACTAACTCATTTTTACGCCAAAATGTTCGTCTTGAACACATGCACAAAAATGAGCATATTTTCCTATAGGAAGTTATCGATTTTCTAAAAATCCTTGATTTTCCCAAGTTTCGCATGTAAAGTCTAATTTTTCCCCGCTCAGGAGCATTCTAATTGAAAGCCAAGGCGATATTTTGAACCAACACAGCATAATGCATTGATGGTATTATTATCTGTGGAGAAATTTTTTTCTTCGAAATTTCCACTCATGAGGTCCACCTCAGGTGATTTTTCAAAAAAACTTGTTTTGTGAAAATCACTTTTTCCGCGTTTAATCGCTCGTTAGACTTATGAGTAGCGATAACAGAGATGGAAAAGGTTTATTCTATAAAAAAGCTTATGCCGCCTGCCTTAGCCAAAAGTGACCACTGTGCACTGATATTAATATGTTCATTGTACGTACTCTCAGTATCTTATCTGTTGACTAGGTTTACACATGAATGAATATTTTATAATTATATTGATGAGAAAGGGGGCATTTCAAAATATATTCCGATCGGTCGATCGCTATTCCGATCGGTCGATCGCTATTCCGCCATCCTCTTATTTCTGTATTCCTCTATTCCACGACTGTTTCTATTTCACAACATTTCAGGTTTTAATAACTATCATGTAGGTGTATACAGGAACTTCGTTTTCTTTTCGAATTGATTTCATTACTTTTCAAAGAAATTAACAACTGTGCTTCAAAAGATTATTCTTTTATCAACCTATCAAAAATGGTTTCGACTCAATTGAGATATAATCCATATTTTAATCAAGTATCTCAGTTGAGAAATCAGCCCTAGTGAAACTTCTTGTACCCAAGGTCTTAGGTTAAGAAATGTCATAAGATCTTGGAAAAAACACCAAGAAGCCAAGATCTTGGATTCTCGAGTCCTTCATTCAAGATCTTGGGCTAAGAAATTTCAAAACCTCGAGTGGTGTAAGCCAAGATGTTTCAAAATCTTGGATTCTTGAATCTGTCACCCCAAGATCTGGGGAACAGAAATTTCAAGATCTTGAGTGAATCCACTCAAGATGTTGTAAGTGCTTGAGTGACAAATTTTCTTTACATTTTGTTTTTATTTATGATAGTCGTAGCCATTGTATATACGACCGTATAGAGCCGTAAATTCTTCCGTAAACAAATATGGTCAAGAAGGAAAAAAATTCGAAGTTATTATAAGTTTGAAAATATTCCAGCTTATATTTACACAAGAGTGTAAAACAAACCGATGGTTCAAGAATTTCCGAGATATTAGTACAAGAAGTCAGGAAAAATGCAAGATATTCAAGATCTTGCCTTCTTGAAATTTCTTAAATCCTAATATTTTTTTACCAAGATCTTCAATAAAGATCTTACTGCAAAAATTCAAGAAGTCAAGATCTTGGTTAGAAGAAGTTCCGCTAGGGATTATTTCTGCGAAAATGTTCGTTTCTCAACTGAGATACAATTTTGACACATGCGCTGAAACGTGGAGTTGGGCAGGAGTGCAGTGCATAAAGCACAGTGGGCATTCTAGCGGACATTAGGCGAAAAAGCGAATTTCGTTTTATTTCAAATACGAATAGTGGAAAATGTAGCTCTTTCGAAGGGCGATCGAATGGTGTATAAATGTCTATTTTGATATCGACTCCTTCGAGCAAAAAATAGGGCACAAAAACGGCGTAGTGG